AGACCACAATTATATCATACAAAGAGCCAGAACAGAATTTTGGGGTATTTTATGTGTGTTGTATACATATTTGAGACACATTTTCTACTGCAGCTTGAATAGCATTACAACATCAATTGGGGGAAAGTGCCATTAAGAGATGAGCAGATTAACCCAAGATGATTAAATGACTGGGTCAAAGAGCACAGCCAGAAATAGAACCCAGATGTTTCCCATCAGAATCCTGCTCAGACTAATAACCTGGGCAATGCTGAAATAGCACCTCTCCAATGTTGTCATGATTCTGTAAACGAAATGCTGGGTTTTCAAAGATTTCTTTCTCTTCTTTTACTTCATCTGTGTCCTCAGTCCTTCATGTTAGAATGACTTAAAGTCCTACACTGGGTCTTACAGGGTTGTGTTTATCAAGAAGTATCTTGTGGGCTACTGCTGGTCTGTATTCACTCCTGCAAATTTCTACTGAGATTCTATACTGCCTCCCTCTGGTGAGGCTAACAGTATCAATGGAATTTGTTAAAGCCCAAAACAGAACGTGTTGTCAATTAATATAATGTAAAATAGTAAGTCCACAAAATAAAATGTCAAGTTCGTAGGCAAACAGATAAATTAGTAATTACTTAGGGTGGAGGGAAAGGAATGGTGGGATGGAATAAGGGATTGATAGCTAAAGAGAAAAAGATTGTCAGTCAAGGTGATAAAAATGTCCTGAGTTGATGTTGGTGATGGTTGCATAACTGTGCATATGCTAAAAACAACTGAACTGTAAAGTAGACTAGTTAGTATGAGAATCATAACCAATAAGGTTGCTAAGAAAAATAGGAAGTTACAGGTTGAGTATCCCTAATCTGAAATGCTCAGGACCAGAACTATTTTGGATTTCAGATTTCTCAGATTTGGGGATGAAGTAATTGCAAATACATAAAGAGATATCCTGGGAATGAGACCCAAGTCTAAACAAAATTCTTTTATGTTTCAAATGTGCCTTATCCACATAGCCAGATTGTAATTCTGTACAATATATTAACAATTTTGTACATGGGACAAACTTTCATGGTGTGTCATTTTCCATTTGTGGCATCAAGTCAGCACTCAAAAACTTTCAGAGTTTGGAGTGTTTGGATTTCAGATTTTTGGATTAGGAATGCTTGACCAGTATAACTACCATTCCAGAACCAGCAGGTGAATTCCCAAAACACAGTGCCGGGTATGAGGCTAGATATGGAGAAAGATCCAAAATAATCTACAAAGTCTGCACCAGTGGAACACAAGGATAAAAACTGGGCTAAAAGCAAACTAGGAGATGAAAATATAATAATCCTAAAACACAAATTGTTACAGAGCAAAACCAGCCACCTATTATACCACTCCAGAAAGGCCTCATGGCCTCAAAATGTCACCCAGGAAAGACTCAGAACATCTCAATTAATTGGTACTACTAAAATACAAAGCTTAAATTAAAAATATATAATTAAAATCATGTCCTGGACTGTTGGCCATGAAAATTTAAATGTATCTTAATTAATAAACTAATTGGTAAGCCAATACAGGTTTTCACATGGAAGTAATAAATAAATAATAGTTTCTCAAATTTGGGCCAAATTCTCTCATTGGGATGCAGAGTCACAGTAACAGTTGAGTCCCAGGCAGCTCTTCCTAGATGTCACTCAAGTGCCTCATTGCAATATAGTCAGACTGGAATTTGCCATCCCTTCACTTTCCCTACTAACTTGCACCCAGTCCTGGAATTTTCCCGTGTTCCCTGCCTCAGGCTCTACTACCACAAGGCCTTCTTCTTTATCTTTAGTACTCCCCCACTCAGTTGACCCATACTGCCAAGGCATGTATCTCCACTCCCTCTACCACCCACTCTCTCCTGGTCCTTCTCACCCGTGGCCTGGAGAGTAATGTATTCAGACAATTGTTGTTTCTTCCTAGTGCAAATCCATTCCTCATAATGCCATTAGCTAGATTCCTATAAAAGAGAAGTCATAAGACATTCATGTCTGGCTTACTATCCTTGTCAACTAACTTCTCCCCACTGCCACCAGGTTGAAGTATAAATGCCTTAACCAGGTATGCAAGGCCCTTTATGGTCTAGACTGCTCAGTTTTCAAGGAGGTTCTCTTTCCTGCAAGTCACCAAAGGATCTGCTTTTCTCCTGCCAACAGGCCTCTGCTGAGGTCTTGTGTTGGATCTTGTGTTGGAACATAAATCCATCACCACATATCCCTTGACAAAAAAATGGCAGGCAGTATACACACCTCCAGAAATTCATCTTCGTGTTCCACTGTGTTTCCAAACGATCAAAGTTGAACCAAGATTCACTTTGGATGGAATATAAAATAAATTTCATCTTCACAAAATACAACCACAAGACATGAAGCAAACATAAACAGTGAACATGTCATCTAACCAGTTCTGTGCATGGAGCACAACTCCTTCAAAGTCTCTCCATCTTGCACAGTGCCTATGGAGATGGCCCACTACCACCACCGCGCCTCCAACAAATTTAAGACTTCCAGTGGTTTTGCACATTTATTTATTCAACACAAATCTTTCATTTCCAAACAAGTTTCTATTTTAAATCACTCACACAAATGAGCATCATTACGGTGTAAGCCTATAGGAAAATTAAAATTCTCTTGCCTCAAAAATACTCAGCCAAAGATACTAAGTCTCTAAAGATCACCTACCAATAAGGTGCTGAAAGTGAACCCACAGAATATGTTTTTTTAAATAAAATGAAGAGAATGCTTTCAAATTAAGAGCATTTAGTAAAGAAGCAAGAGAGAAAAAAAATCATACAAATTACCCTAATGTAAAACTTCCTAAACATAACAAATGCACATTCTTACCTTCAGATAAACAGATTTAAGTAGGCTCCTGAAAATGTACTTTTTTTAATATTTATTTTTTAGTTGTAGTTGGACACAATATCTTTATTCCATTTATTTATTTTTTTAAGTGGTGATGAAGATCAAACCCAGGGCCTCACACATGCTAAGTGAGCACTCTACCACTGAGTCACAACCCCAGCCCTGAAAATGCACTTTTTAATACTTCCTATGAACCTAAGCAGACAATATTAGCACCATTATTTCTGGAAAACAATTACTATATACATTATATTTTAGTGCTTTAGTCAGCAGCCTTTTCTCTTGTTGCTATTTGCTCTAAGACAAGTAATCCTGTGCTTAGTTATTTTTATTTAAAAGATTTTAAACATTTCTATTTAAATTTATTTCTACCATAGTTTGAATATTCATTAAATATTGAAAGGAGCTTGGGCTATGGTTAGAATAAGACAAAATGTATCAGAAAACAACATTAAACTCTGCAGCAGACCTGTGTTTTGCTGGTACTCATTATCAAGTTCATTTTAAGCCTCCTCTGTTCCCTGCCTATAAACTGTTACCTACTCAAGTGCGTAGTCTAAATATGTTGAAGTAAGAACTATCATACAAATTAAAATATATACATAAGCATTTATAGACCAGGCTTATTGTTGTTCAAATCATAAAAAATAATCATCTACCCACATTGACAACCCTCTGTTACCTCTAACATCCAGATGATTGCAAAATACTGTATCAATTAACATTAATAGTGACCTTTTGAGACTCCAGTGGGTGAGACAAAAGAACCCATTTAATTTCAATACTTGCCTGGTTATTCTCATTACCAAGTCACAAATATATTGTGCAATGAATAAGAAATTAAATGTAATGTAAGTCAACAGATTTTCACTAAATTAATCTTAAAAACTCAACCGTTAAACACAGTAAGAGTCTTTATGCATGGGAACAAGCTATATATAAACCTGTACCAAAAAAGTTTCTTTTTAAAAATTCTGTAATTTTTTAATGAAAATGATTTCAAACTTAGAAAGTATAAGAATAAGAAGAGTTCAAACAAAGTCTTTAGACCCTTTATCCAGATCCACATATTCACTGACTTTTTAAAAAAAACAATCTTTTGGATATGTCCAGGGAAAAGAGTTCCCAAGAGTTGATTCAAATACCATCTTCAATAGTAAATTTGAACAGGTGAAGTCAGGGTCCAAGAGAAGCAGTCAGTTCAGACTTAGGATTTGCATCCAGAGCACTCTATGTGTAACAACATGGAAGAGCATCATTGCTGTCCTTGAGGAACCATGTGATTAACTGGGGACAGGTGGACATATGCATCAAACGACAATAGAACATATATTCACCAGCATATCAGAAATTGTAATTGTCAAACTGATGTGTGACTGCCATGGCATAAAGAGGCCACCAGGTGTAAAGCTATACTAGACAAGGAGAATTCCCTGCTGACATAGGTTTTGAATTAAGTTCAAAGTGAGAACGCCTATGTGATTGGCAAGAAGAGGTCAACTCACGCATAAAATGAGAGGTTCAAGGGCACAGAAGCAGCAGGACTTGGGGTGGAAAACAGATTCGGATGGGCTTCATTAGATTTCTCAGAAAATTTGTTTAAAGAAAAGAGTTTACATTAGAACATTTCTTGTAGAAGAAAAATTTGAACCTCAGACTGCATATGCAATCATAGCTATCAAGCTAAAGACATAAAAATAATACCTTCAAGCCTAATAGCCTGAGTTGTAAACCAAGCCATAGGGCTTTTGTAGCTTTTATATTAAGTATTTATAATGAATGGGGAAAGAAACTATTTCATATTAAGGGAAAATGCCCTTATAATTTAGGATTCAATAAAGCTAACTCCAATAGAGCTTAAAGTGACAGAAAACAGAAGAGCATTGAGGCTCTACCTCTAAATAAACAATTATTACTTCCATAAAACAGGGAGTCCCCCCCCCAATATTAAGTAAAAGCACTTTAAAGATCTTATTTCCAGAAACCAATTATTCACAGGGGCACATGGATTTCATAACTGAATAAGGTGAAAGCCTCACCTTTTAACAGTAATAAATCTGCATGTAGATGAATCCAGAAAGCACAGCATAAACAAAAATCCTGGTGTGGTTTCCACACACTTACCTGCATCTGCTGTTTGAGTTCCCTGGCCAAGACCCCGTCCTGCAGAGCATTCTCCCGCTGAGAGGCATCCGCAAGCACATTCAAGGTGGTTTCTGCTTCTTGGACCCACTTTAGAAAGTTCTCCAGATCTCTGCGAGAGGCCTGCACTGTCCTCAGCTCAGCCTCCAAGGCACTCTGTCTATCAGCAATGCTGAAAGAAACAGCATGACAGGCACAGCTCCATTACTTACAGGGTGCCACTCTACATCATGCACACCCTAAATAAAAAATTGACAGACAGCCACCAAGGCACCTTTATTTAAGTCACCAAATGTAACTGGGGTATTTATTTATACTTATATCTAGAATACTTCTTACTGAAGAAATCATGTCAATTGTGAGAAATGAAAAGGGATATATAGATATTAACAAAATAAAATCCATTTCATAAAATGATTACGACTACATTTATTCTCATATTTGAGCATTAAAGTTCTCCCCTAAAGACTTAGGTCAATACCTTGGTATGATGGCTCTACTGAGAAGGCAATATGAATGAATTTTCATGCAATTGGTGACTAGGAATTCTAGGAAGGAGTAAAATCTGAAGAAATATTTAAGATTAAAAAAATACATCAATAATATACAGCCCAGAGTGTAGTTCAGTGGCAGAGAACTTACCTACTGTGACTGAGACCCTGGGCTTGACCCACTGAAAATGTTAACATTAATCATCATCATCATCATCATGAAATCAATAAGTTGATTTAACGATATTTGGAAGACACTGAATAATCAAGTCATTATAAACCCTTCGTTATGTTTACATCAAAAGTAAAATGACTAGGGTTACCTGAATTAAAAAATACGTACACCTGCAAGTTCACAATTTAAAACTTTATATATCTAGGAGCTCCATAATGACAAGACAACTCAATATAAAAACTGAGCAACATTTCTAGGTATTTCAAGGTAAGAAATGGAAAATATATGTACACACAAAAACATTTATGGCAGCATTATTTAAAATTGTCAAATAGTTCATCAGTTGCAGGAAGAATTGATAAATACAATATGGTATACCAATACCTAAAATATTAGTTGGTCATAAAAAGGAATGAAGTAGTGTTACATGCTACAAGATGACCCTAGAAAGCATGCTAAGTGAAGGAAGTCAGACACAAAAAGATTCCATTCATATGAAGTTTCCAAAACAGGTAAATACATAGAGAGAAAGAGTAGGTTACTTGTTGTGTAAGACTAGAGAGTGGGGGGGGGGTGTAATGAAAATTGACATTTAATGAATATGGAATTTCTCTTTGGGATGAGAGCTTTTCTGAAATTAAAAGTGATGGAAATACTTTATAGGTGTAATAAGAATTGTAATGCATTCCACTGTCATATATAAATAAAAAATAATTTTAAAAAAGTGGTGGAAATACTAAAAAAAACAGTGAAATTGTATGCTTTTACGGATGAGTTTTATGGAATGTGAATTATTTTACAATAAAAAAATCAACATATCAACTATGATCTCATTTACATAAAATTTTCCATATGTCCATCTAGTCATCCATCCGTTTATCATCTACCCACTTGCCTGTCCTTTTATCAGTGTATATACAAAAAAGGGTGAAATGTCTATAATATTAATATTAAAATGGTTATTTCTGGATACTTGGAATTAAGGTGGCTTCCTTTCCTATTTATATTTTTCTGCATTTTTGAATTTGTAATGAACAAGTATACTTTTTACACATCAATAAACACATTCTTTTAAAAATGAGTAAAAGACTTAAACTGATAAATCACTATAGAAGATATGTAGATGGTAAATAAGCACATGGAAAGATGCTTTGCATCTTGGATAATTAGAGATATGTATATTCAAACCACCATGAGATCACTAGAGATTCAAATGACTTCAAGAAAATGACTGTATCCACTGGATGTGGAATACACCTATAATGCCAGTAACTCGGGAGGCTGAGGCAGGAAGCTAACTTTGAGGCCAGCCTCAGCAACTTAGTGAGGCCGTAAGCAACTTAGCAAGAACCTGTCTCAGCAACAAAACATTAAAAGGGTTGGAGATGTAGCTCAGTGGTAGGGCATCCCTAGGTTACTTCCCCAGTACTTAAAAAAAAAAAAGACAATGACTATATGAAACACTGGAAAGAACATGGAGATACTGCAACTCCCATTACTGCAGATAAGAATGGAAAGTTGTACAGCCATTTTGAAAAACTGTTGGCAGTGTGTCATAAAGCTAACCACTCACTTATAATGCTGTCTAGCAATCCTACCTCCAGGTATTTACCCAAAAGAAATGAAAACACATGTCCACACAAAACCTGTATGCAAATGTTTACAGCAGTTTTATACAAAATGACCTAAAACTGGAAACAACCCAAATATGAACTGGTAAATAGAGTGTGATATATGCATGCACTGAAATATGACTCCGTAACAAAAACGAACTACTGATATGTGGGCAACAACATGGATAGGATCTTAAATGCATTTTAAGTGCAAGAAGCCAGACATAAAAGACTCCAGGTTATGATTCCATTCAGGTGACATTCTGGAATGTCATCAACTTCATCCCACCATTTCTGCTTACTAAAAAACTTCTGAGAGTGTTTCACTGACTGCAAAATAAATTTAAATTGCTTTACTTGTGACCAAATACCTGACAAGGAACAACTTAACGAAAGAAAAGTTCACCTGGGGCTCATGGCTCCAGAGGTTCAATCTAGGGTCAGTCAATTCCATTGTCTTGGGCCCGAGATGAGCAGAACATTTCACCTCTGAACATTCCTACATTGCCTAATACACAAGCTTTTTAGGGAATATTAAAGATCCAAGCCATAACACTTGGAATGGAATGTCCTCTATAATCTATCCACAATTTACTTTTCCAACTTTAACCCCGAGATTTTCCCACAATCTGTTAAGGTCAGGGTGGTATGCTTTTTTTTTCCTCTAGAATATTCTTGATACTACACCCACATAAAAATTTCATATCCATATAAAAATGTCCTTCCTACCTTCTCCATTTAACAAAACCCTACAATTCTTTAAGAATTAAAGAACTCCTCTTCCAGAATACATTCCATCCCAGCTAGAGTCAGCACTCTTTCTTTTTTTCATAAAACTCAGTACTCTGCTTTATACAGAAATTAATCACATATTCCCTGGAAAAGCCCTTGAATTCTGATCTAACTTCACACTTAATTTTACTTAAACACTCTCATCTAGATCTTGTCTGTCCAACTGTTTTATAAACTCACTCTGGGCAGAAATGATTTTTCACATCTCCATATTCTTTGGAGTCCTTATTCTAGTATTAAAGTAAATATAGAATAATGATCATCTATTTATAATGTGCCTTTGTATTTTGCTCAGATACACCATATTTGAAGAATGTCTTCCACCAAACTCACTTTGCAAATCAAGAAGAAGGAAGGCATGAGGAGCATATAAGCAAGAAGAGACCCAACACCTGGAGAAGGCAAGGGGCTATCATGCTAATGGTCAAACAGGGAGAGCGTGTGAATTCAAACCGGAGCAGATGAGGGCTGTCATCGCCACTCTGAATGCTCTTGTTTTAACTTGACAAAACATACAAAGGACACACTCCAACAAAATGAGGAAATAACTAAGAGGGGGAAAAAAAGAAAACACACAAGATCCAGGACAAAGAGATTCCACACTTGGTGAAAAGCAAAGGGAATGCCCGGCGTGGTGGCGAGGCAGCAGGCCTAGCAGCAGGACTGCCGAAGAGATGTCAACAAAATCATAGAATTTACAGGGAAATGGATGGCATTAGAGCAGATTATGCTAAGTGAAGCTAGCCAATCCCTAAAAAACAAATGCCAAATGTCTTCTTTGATATAAGGAGAGTAACTAAGAACAGTGTAGGGACCAAGAACAGGAGAAGAAGATTAACATTTAACAGGGATGAGAGGTGGGAGGGAAAGGGAGAGAGAAGGAAAATTGCATGGTAATGGAAGGAGACCCTCAGGGTTATACAGTGGAGGAGGTAGAGAGAGAGGAGGGGAGGGGAGGGGAGAGGTGGGGAGGGGGGAGGGTGGAGGATGGGAAAGGCAGTGGAGCACAACAGACACTAGTATGGCAATTTGTAAATCAATGGATGTGTAACTGATGTGATTCTGCAATCTGTGTATGGGGTGAAGGTGGGAGTTCATAACCCACTTGAATCAAAGTGTGGAATATGATATGTCAAGAAATTTGTAATGTTTTGAACAACCCACAATAAAAAATTAAAAAAAAAAAAAAACAAGATAAAAAAAATTAGAAGTGATAGACTGCTTAACGTGATTGACTTTGTGGAAAATTATACTGACGGGCCATTGGAAAATGTAAGAAGGATTAGCACTAAGAGCAAAGAAAACAAGGCACACAAAAACAAGGCCGTTATTAATTTCAGACAAAGCAAACAGAGAGGAAACGAAATTATAGCTAACTTCAGTGCGTGGCTGCTAATAATGTTTGAATAAGAATAATAGGTCAACACAGAATATTACCTAAAAAAACAGCGACAAAAGGAAGAGAACAGTAGCATAAGAAAGCTATTTTCTTTTTTAAAAAAATGTTTTTTTAGTTGTAGATGGACACAATACCTTTATTTTTATGTGGTGCTGAGGATCGAACCCAGTGCCTCAAACACGCTAGGAGAGTGCTCTACCTCTGAGCCACAACCCCAGCCCAAGAAAGCTATTTTCTTTATATTTACCAAAATAGGATGACAGTAGACAACGTCTAACATTAATGTATTAAAGACAATAGCATACTTATTTGGAATATGAAAAAGGTATAAATGACAAAAGAAAAAACTAAAAGAGGGGAACTTTTAAGAGAAAATAACCATGATATTTTGTTTTAACCCTTTCGATGCATTTTGATTATTTTGTAATAAAATGCATATATTTCTTTAATTTTTAAAATTTATAAGTCACCCACCATAATTTGAGTGGTTGTTTTTGGTGATGTTTATTCTCCCCTAATCCTGCCCATATTTTCAATTTTTTTTGGGGGGGGCAGGTACCAGAGATTGAACTCAGGGGCACTCAAACACTGAGCCACATCCCCAACTCTATTCTATATTTTATTTAAAGACAGAGTCTCACTAAGTTGTTTAGTGTCTCGCTTTTGCTGAGGCTGGCTTTGAACTCACAATCCTTCTACCTC